AAACCATTCACCTGAGCCCATTAGCACCCATGGGTTGGGAACGTATCTGGAACTGAAAAATCATAACTCCAACTAAACCAGCCCAATCCATTACCTCCTTAACCCCAAGCCAATCCAGCCCCCAACGCACGTGAAATTCATTGTCCCATCCCAGAGCCAATTGACGTACACCCCAAATTATTTAACCCATTCTAGCCTAATCCATTAGCAGTGCTCACCAACAAGCCAATAACCCGATCAGGAGAGAGACAGAGACTGAAAGCATCCAAGCGAACGGCGGAGGAGGTTAGGGTTTGGAGCCTCACCCTTGAGCACGGAGACCTCGAGGGACTCGTCGACGGCCAGGACGTCAGCTATCCAGTGGGCCACAAAGCGGTTGGCGGTGGCGGAGACTGGAAAGGGCGGCATTGGCACAATACGGGAGGTGGAGCCTGCAGTGTTGGCGAGGTTTGGAATGTCATCTCATTTTTTCTAGACGTGTACTGTTAGGGCTTTTACTACAACTTACACTCTAATCCTGAGCCAAGCTCAAGCAAATCATAAGGCCACGTCATCTACTTTCTACAGGGTCGTAACTCAATACCACTAGTAGAAGCTCTTCTAGAAAATACAAGCACCATCACCTACCAACTACTGTCCCTTGGGCTCCCTATCTGTTTCAATTAATCTATAGCACGCTTATCATGGGCGAAGATCATCTAAGAGGTAAATTTCTCTGATTCTAAATGTTGCTGTAAAACAAGTAGCGATCATCTTGAACTTTCATGCACAGAATGGCCTCCTGCATTCTATCTCCCGACTACCTCCTCCCTTCCTCATCTGAATCGTATCACGGCCTCACAGGACCCCACACCGTCCTGATCGGCTTGTTGTGGGAGCGCACACGGCCCCGACGCAGCTCGTCCTCGCCGTCCGTCATGGCTGGACCGCTGCGTGTGGCGGCTCACTGGGCATAGTGGATTGGCCTGCTCATCTGTGCCGTTCCGACACTGGCACTCGCTGGCCTGGCCCGGAGCTTGTCGACCTATGTTACGCTGGGCTTATAAGCCATATTTTTTCAGCCAACAACAGTATTTTTCTCTCTTAACAAATCAGACAACAATACTTTCAGTCATGACTTATCAGCCAAGCGAACGGGATGCTATCTTGCACGGGAACGCCCATAGCAGCCAGCACACCAGAGTCAATGGTTTCATGATTGCCGGCCTTTGCCTCGCAACTATTTCGTAACATAAGGCGGGCACACTGCAAGGCCGCGCATGCTTTTCTAGTAGTACAATATACTAATATGAATATGCATCTGAGGAATAGGAAAAGTGTAAAAAAAATATATGAACGGTGAGGTGAATGGCCTGTGCTAATCGGTGACACGAACGTAACGGAACGGAACGGAACCAAACCCTGCACATCACGTTTGTTCGGAAACTTATCTGAGCGAACTTCCCCCGTCCGCCTCGTCATCGGCTCGACTCGACTCTCGTCTCCCCGTTTTCTCCCGCAACTCCTTAAAAACCTCGCGAGAAGCGAGACGAGAGAGCACTTGCTGCCTGTTCGCCGATTTCGCTCCAAATCTGCTGTGGGGGCTCGAGCCGATCGAAGCGTCATCGGCGGCAGCGGCAATGGCGGGGCTGTCGCTGCGGTGCGGCGACTGCGGCGCGCAGCTGCGGAGCGTCGAGGAGGCGCAGGCGCACGCCGAGGCCACCAACCACGCCAACTTCGTCGAGTCCACCGAGGCCGTCCTCAACCTTGTCTGCTCCGACTGCGGCAAGCCATGCCGCTCCCAGACCGTAAGATCCCACCCGTCCCTTCCCCTCTCTTCCTCTCCCCGAATTTCCCGTCGGGTTTTGGTGCCTCGTCCCTCGTAGATTCAATCCGGTGCGCGTGGCGGGACTCTCGGTCCGATTCCGATCGCGTATGGGCTCGATGATTCTTACTGATTTCGCGGGTTGTGCGCAGGAGGTGGACCTGCACACCAAGCGCACGGGCCACACCGAATTCGCGGACAAGACCGCGGAGGTGGCCAAACCCATCGATCTCGAGGCGCCGCTTAAGCCGGCCTCCGAGGATGCCATGGACGTCGATGCCTCGGCCTCGGCGAGCGGGGAGCCACAAGGTTGGTTTTTGTTTCCATTGTCTCAGCCTCATGAGCGTTGATGACGTTACTTACTGACTAACTGTGTGCTGTATTATGGTTGTGGCAGAGATGGTTGTCCCGGAGGTGAACAAGGAGATGCTTACGGACCTTGAGGGCATGGGTTTCTCGACAGCGCGCTCCACTAGGGCGCTTCACTTCTCTGGTATGTTTATTAGTGATGTTGTCGGCTTCTCTTGCTGTAATGTTTTGAGTGCTTCAAACCAGAAAGTATTACACTTGTGATTTTATAGCCTTGGTCAGTAATTTTTTCAACATATATAAGAAGCATGGATATGTGTACTCCATGAAGAATCACCCAAGATGGCCTATTTTATTTAGTGGATTATCCTTTGCAAAGTTGACCAATGATACTGTCCTTTAGACAAGATTTAGGATGATGAAACAGCAGCGGTCTAAGGATCTGCTTAGGCTATTTACCTCATATGATAGTCAGGATATGTTTCTCACACTTGGAGGCATAAATAAAAAAAACCATTTCCGTTAAGAATATCTGCCATATTCTTTCTCCAACTTGGATTTATAAGGTTTTGTACCAAACTGCCATTCTAGACATGCTACTTGTAAGTCAAAACTTTATTTTTTTCTCGAAAAAGTCAAGACTTTAGATATCTAAGTTCTATCATGAGATGAATGAGGGGCTAAATTGAAGTACATTCTTTTGTCACTAAGATACCGTGAGACATGACTAGGGGGGCTCTGTTGGGTTTCAACTCTAGCCTACCCCAACTTGTTTGGGACCTGAAGGCTTTGTTGTTGTTGTTGTTGTAAGATATCTTAGACATGCTACTTGTAGGTCAAGACTTTAGATATCTGACTTAAATTCTAACATGAGATGAATGAGGGGGCTAAATTGGAAGTATATGGTTCATGATGGAATTATTTGCCAGGATGAATTCCATCCATTTCTATGCGTCAATGCTTATGAACTGAATTTGTAATGACTGACCAAAACAAATGCATGTATGCTGATATGTCTGTTATGCTTTTGACAACTCATGTTAAAGTTGATCCATCGTCTGAATATGCCAATGTGTTGCCGACTATTTGGTGCTTCTATTGATATTACCTCATCTAATTGTAACGCAAAACTACAATGAAAATTCGTCCTTTGGTGACCCGTTTGCTTTTATTTATAGGTAATAGCACCATTGAAGGTGCTATTAACTGGCTTTCTGAGCACCAGGAGGACGAGATATTGATGAGATGCCTCTGGTATGATGATATTCTTGTTTCACTTGATTTTCAGAGTTTAGTGGTTTGTTCCTTTGATACTCTGGTGGTGCTTATCTGATCCCCTATTTAAAAAGTAGGACGGTCTTGAATCTTGATGTAACAATATATGTCTCGCTAGTAAGTTCTTCTGAAGAACTTGTTTCAACAACCTTTTTAAGTTTTCATTGTACTACCTGTGCCTATCACAATTTTTAATCTTTGTGTTATATTCTTCAAATCTCTGCAAGCAACTATTTTGATCCATATTGAGGATATTGTGCTGGCATATTTATTGTGCTTCACATGTTCCAAATGCGTCATTTTTAATGTTCCTCACATGTTCCAAGAAATGACAACAACATATGATCATATCGCATTTCTTTTTTTTTTTTTTTTTTCATAAAATATCCAGTTGGAAGCTGGCATGAAGTACATATTGTTGTTTGAACTAGGCAACTAGTTTATGCCACATTGCATTGCCAAAGTTTGGCCATTTATACTTTGCTTCCACATGCATGATTAGGATGAACATTGACAATGCAAATATTCCACTGCCACTGAGCTTTCACAGTAGGTTTCATGTGTTCCACAAATCTTTGGCTAGTTATTCTCAGTGGGGCATATTAGATATTGTTTCTATGTTATACCAATACTTCATCAAGAAAATACTCCTCTCCAACGCGTCTACAAGTTACCTTCTTTCACCTCTTAGGTACCATCTAATTCAAAACGGAGGCTAACAAGCCCAGCTTGACTCTGAGGAAATGAAGATTAAAGCACAGGAGCTAAGGTGCTTTTATGAACCTTTCTTATGTATACCGTGGGCTGATAGTTAAATAGTTGCTCTAAAAATGCCTTTTTTTTAAAATATTGCTAGTTTTTAATTAGTTCACTAGCATTTGAATATTTTATTTTATGTGGTTGGTGTGTTCCAGCTATCTGATACACCCTTTTGGTCTTCTGTATAGCTGTTGAACAGTGAGAAATGATTCATTTTATTTCATTTGAGAACATAACCAATATATTCGTGTTGGTAAACAAATAATTTTTTTACTTGTGTATAATGATGACATAGAAGGGCAGGCCTGGTGCAGTGGTGAGAGCTGTCTCACTGAGTCACCAGGTCGTGGGTTCGAAGCAGCCTCTCCGCAGATTTTGCGGGGGGAAGGCTTGCCACGGTTTTTCCCTTCCCCAGACCCCACTCATGTGGGAGCCTCTGGCACTGGGTCTGCCCTTTTTTTTGTATAATGATGACATCTCCAAATTAGTGGTGGTTTTGTTGCATTATGACCCTGCTGAAGGGTTCTTAAGTGTGCCTTTTTGCATTGCTTGGATGATAAAAGACCCTGATATAAGTTACACATGGAACCCATAAAGTTTTAGTTACAGATAATACTGGGAAAATCATATTTCCTTAAAAGCAAACTCAGCTTTTTTTAACACTGCTATTAAAAGAAACTTTTTTTTAATGTTTGCTCCTAATTGTAGATTTAGGAAGTCAAGAATGGTTAGGCAGACCATATGATTTGACCATGGTTTTCAGTTTTTCACTTTCTATAACTGTCTATTCTTTGGTGAATGTGGAATATTTTTCCTTGGAGACATCTTATACTGAAATTTTCCCCATCCATTTGTAGGGAGCGTGCTCGTAAGAAGAAAGAGGAAGAAGAGAGAAGAATGGAAAGAGAAAGGGAGAAGGTATCGTCTTAACTCTCCTTTTTACCTTCACTGCTACTTGGGTGCCCGTCTGTTGCACTGGTTCTCTAATAAAATTGAGACTGTTTACATTGATTGTGGTTGATGGATATTATTAAAGTCCCCTGAGGAAAATTAACAGTGCATTACCCCCTATTGTGCTTGAGTCTTGACCCCTTGGGCTTCTCTTAGTATCCCTGGTCAAACCTTGAGGGCTCTGTTGAGCTGTACCCTCTCCGTTCACATATATAAGTGGTCTTAGGATTGTCCTGGGTCCAACGTTTTTTTATTTTTGACCATCAATAGCTAAATATAAAGAGTATTGCAACATAAGGCTGATGCTACATTGCTACTAGATTTATCATGAAAAGAAATTTAATAACGTATAATTTTTATATTTAAAATTATATTTTCCAAAGTAATTATAGGTCAAAGTTTCACCTTGTAGACCATCTTGATGTCCTAGACTACTTATATTTGTGATAAGACATCAGAAGGATTATTATTGTTTATGGATCGACCTTGTAGCAGATCATTTATTTATTGAGTTGTTGAAACATGCTGTAACCTGGAACGATACAAATGAACAGAAAGACATTTGGACATTTTTAACATTTTCCAGGAAAGAATACGAATCGGAAAAGAACTTCTTGAAGCCAAAAGAATTGAGGAACAAAATGAAAGGAAACGGTTGGTCTTCTTTCCTTCTCTGTGATTTGTTTCTTTCCCTTTTGCTTCTGTTTGATTTACTGTATTCATTCCCTGATGACTAATTTCTTTTCCACCATTTGAAGCATGATAGAACTGCGAAGACTCGAGAAAGAGGAGGAGAAAAGAGCTAGAGAAAAAATCCGCCAGAAATTAGAAGAAGATAAGGTTTCTAGTTTCTCCGCTTTATCATGAAGAATCTTTCTTGCTTCATCATTCAATTTTTAACTGATGTAGAAAATACTAGTAATTGGGCCTTAAAATGTTTTCTTGGGTTCTCAGGCTGAAAGGAGAAGGAAACTAGGATTGCCACCAGAAGACCCAGCAGCTGCCAAACCAAGTGCACCACCTCCTGTTGAAGAGAAGAAGGTATTTTATTTTGAATCTGGATTCTCCTTTACTGTGATGGCTAATAGTTTAAACATCATTTTGTTCCATTTTTAAGCTCATGGTTTACCTGACCTATTGGACTGCTGAGATGAAAATCGTTAAGAATACTATACTTCTTAGGAGAACTTATTTCATTTACTAGTCTACTAGGTTGATCTTAATTCATTTGTTTTTTATTTAACTCGCTGTGGTATATGAATATGCAGAGTGCATTACCTGTCAGGCCAGCTACAAAGGCCGAGAGGATGAGGGATTGCCTAAGAAATCTTAAGCAACAGAACAAGGTACAATGTGTAGTTGGTCCCTTGAGATCCACTTATTCTTTTTTTCTTTTAACACATTTGCCTTGGAAATCCATCCATTTGCTGTCATCTTTTATTTTTCATTAGGTGTATGTATAAATAAATATGACTGGATGTAAAAACTGGACATGCTATTTTTTAAGGTTGAACTAATAAATTGCGACAAGATGTAAGCTTTGTAGGTACACTGTGCCTTTAACTGTAAGTAGGCAACCAGATCGTAAACCTGTGCTAGATGATCAAATTAGTCTTCCAAACATGGTGCTTATATAAGAAAAAATATAACAAGACTAGAGGTGTGATGCTGCACATGACCTAGTACATATAGGATGGACTGCACAGTTTCTCAAATACTAAAGAGGACTGAAGAGAATTAGGCTTCACAGACTTGGAATTGTTTAATTGTAGTTCTTTGCTATTTATTTTGATGCTTAATATGAACTTCCAAGCATAACATTATGAAAAAATGTAGGGGCCAATTTCATGATGTTCAACCATTGACGTTGAAATTTATGTAACCACGCACCCATTTTTGTGACAGGATGATGATGCCAAAGTGAAGAGGGCATTTCAAACACTCCTTACTTACATTGGAAACGTTGCTAAAAATCCTGATGAGGAGAAATTTAGAAAGATCAGGCTCACCAATGCTACATTTCAGGTAAAAAAAAAGTTCTTGAAATTTGGGGGAGTGCTTGCTTTGCTGTTGACCTTGTTAAAGAATAATGAGATCGATAACATGTTTGTTTATTCACCCCACCTTGCAGGAGAGGGTTGGAAATCTGCATGGGGGCATAGAGTTCCTGGAGCTCTGTGGATTTGATAAACTTGAAGGCAACGAGTTCTTGTTTTTGGCAAGGGAAAAAGTGGACAAGGCTATCCTGAACACAGCTGGAGCGGAGCTGAATTCTGCCATCACCAATCCTTTCTTCGGAGTCCTTTGAACCGTAAAAAAAACTACAATGTATACTAAAACCGCTTGGTTTCTCCTTTGCATGACCTCAATTGTGTCTACTTGGCGCCAACTGTAGATTTCAAGTCTGTGGTCAGTCAGATTTCATGAATTATCAGATCGAGTTCACATACTACTTCCGTACATTACTGAGAATCTTTGAAGCAACTTCCTGTGCATATGTTTTTATATCCCGGCGACTGGGATCTTTCAGATTTCATCGCTTCGATGACCTGTGACCTCCATGCATTTTACAATGCTCTGTAGCATCAAAAACAAGTGCAGATGTACTTTGATGCTTGCATTTTACAACGATCGCTTCATCAGATCATCATTAATTATATAGACTATATAGTATCATATGATGAAGAAGAGGAAGTTGCTGGCAAATCCCAGTCATTCATCATCTTTAATCATCAGAGCTGGACCTGGCGGCCGTGAATCCAGCTGAATGGCGCGAACTCCGGGTCCTTGGCCTTGGCGTGCGCCCCTCCTCCAGCCTCCTGAACCGTGGCCCCAGCTCGCAGACGAACTCCTGCGCGCGGCGGCCTTCCGCGGACAGCCCCGTGAGTTCCTGGACGCCCCAGCGGCGGACCAGGAACTCGAGGATGTCGGTGTAGTCCCTGGCCGTGTAGACCCCAGGCGCTGCGCGACGGCGCTGAAGCGCGCGAACAGCGCGTCGTCCTGGCCGTCGTACATGAGGTGCGCGGGCATGGCCACCTTCTTCCTCATGGTGTCGGCGAAGGCGCGCACCGTGTAGTCCGGGTCCACCTCGAACAGCTTGCCGACGATCCGCTCGTACGCCGACTCGTGCCGCTTCTCGTCGGCGGCGATGGTGCCGCAGATCTGCGCCAGCTTGGTGTCGCCGTACCGCCTGGCGTGGCGCGCCGTGTTGCCGTGGGAGATGAAGGTGGCGCGCTCCTGGAACGACGTGTAGACGAAGCCCATGTACGGGTTCGTCTCCGTCTTGGGGTCCATCCCTGAGGCGATGAGGTACTGGATGGTCTTCTCGATCTGCCTCATGTCCACCCTCCCCGTGAGGAAGAGGTACTTGTTCATGAGGTCGCCGTGCCTGTTCTCCTCGGCGGCCCAGGCCCTGGTCCACACCGCCCAGCTGGTGGGGCTGGCGCCGGTCTCGTCGCGGACGCCGCCGTCCAGGGTGTTGAGCATGGTCTGGTACGTCGGCAGCGCCTCCTCGGTGACCATGTCGCCCACGAAGCAGACGAAGTAGTCGTCGGGGATCTCCCGGGCGCGCTCCCGCAGCTCCCGGACCTCGTCGGCGAAGGACTCGGAGGCGGCGTCCGGCAGGTAGTCCTGCGGTTGCCACGACCTCTCCACGGGCTTGAGGAGCACCAGGATGTTGTCCGCCGCCCACGAGTCGAGCGACTCGAAGATCTCCCGCTTCTGCGGCGGCAGCGAGTGCGCCACGGGCCGGTGCACCTCGCGAGGAGGGGCGAACGGCTTCCTGCTCGGAGCTCTCACCCTCCATTCATCATCGCAAGATTAGTAAACTAAACAGCGGCCGGCACAAAAGGAAATTGAATTGAGACATGCATGGGAACCCTTGTTAATCCATCTCTAGCTAGGAGTCACATTTCTGAATCACTGAAAAATTTGGAGCCATCAGACCTGTAGCAAATAACAATCATCTAACACGTCTCTAAGAATCCATCTCTCACACAAATTCCTACTACGCTCCTACTTGTTTTGTTCGTTCTTCTTCTTCTTCTTCTTCTTCTTCCTTGAGATGATTTGGATAGGTGATTTTTTTATTGATTACTATTAGGTGTGGCTGATGAGTGATGAGTATATTACTCTCCAGGTGGCTGGTGCTTTTTAGGGTGCTGCTGGTAAGTACTGTAAGCATCACATTCACACCTACGGCGTGAACAAACTGAGTGTACACCAATAAACAGACAGGCTATACTAGTATCCAATACCAAATAAATCAGGTGCTCAAAATACTTCCTGATCCTGTCACAAATACTGAATCTGTCTAGAATTGCCTTAATTATATGTCAAACAAACATTTTTATGTTTGACTATGAGTACCGTACCTAAAATATTACTCTGCAGCTTCACAACACAAAACACGCGGGAGAACGAAGAAATTGAAATCCCTGGCAAGAACAAGATTCAGAGCAGGAGAAGGCAGAGCTCACTGGGCTGCGGAAGCCATGGCCACCACCGAGGAGAAGGCTCTCCTCCTGCTCACTGGGCAAGGAGGCGTCGCCGCTGCCGGGCAACCGAAGGCGCCGCAGGAAAGGAACGCCGCCGCCGCCATCGGAGACATGCCCGCCGCCACTTTTAATCTCCGCGATGCTCTAGCTAGCTGGCTACACTACAGGTGAGAGTGAGGCTAGGCTCTCGGCGAACAATGAGCGATCGGCAATTCAATTCCAATGCGGTACTAGCTAGCTAACTAGCCGGGCAGTATAAGCGTGGCGCGTGTCTGCAGGTGCTTGCGAAGCTCAAACTGGTCACCATCGCATGAAGAATGCATGCTGCATGCTGCATGCTGCATGCTGTCGTGTCCGGTACCCTTCTGTCCGGCTCCGGGGAGAAAGAACGAACAAAAGGATTTGTTAACTTGCTTCTGTTTACATCCACACCCATATACCGTCGTTCCTATACTGGACACCGAAAGCGTCTAAATCTCGCATAAATACATCAGCGAGCTAGTTAGAGGAAACATCACCCAGATACGTTCTTGGAGAAGATTCAGGGTGAAACAGCAACTGTCTAAGAATCTGACTTACATTATATATATTGGCTATTATATGGTACTCTAAATGCAGATTCGAAATACATAAATATACAGTACCATATCGTCTCACGTCTTCGACAGCGAGGAGCCAGTGGTGCCAGCTCAGTTCTTCGGAGGTGTGTGTTCGTAGAAGTGTGCGTGCGTGTTCCGTTTGCGTTGTACTGTGTAATTCTTAAAAAAAAACATCGTTCGACGACTTGGCTATTGCTTGAAACGAGACGACGTACAGTACAATCCAACTGTACGAAATAAAACCAGCATTCTGAGGACCGGATTTGATTCAGTATGCACTGCAAAAGGCTGGGATATATATAGATCCGGCATTACTACATCTACTGTTATTCCAGGCCCAGATATTAGCATCATTTACAGGCCTGATACAAGTAAACGTGGGCGCACATTCTGCATCATGAGACATCAATCAAGACTTGAAATCAATCAAGACAGATTAAATCCAACGGGGCGGCACAAGTAGGAATGTACTTGACCAGCTCATCTATTCTCAAATGAAGGCTCTACAAGTAGGCGCTGGCACAGTTTTCTGCTCCAGAATCCCAACCCTGCATCTCATTAATGAAATTTACTTTTTTAGCCAGTGAACAATATTTTTCTGTCACAACAAATCATCCAACAGTACTTTCAGCCATGACTTATCAACCAAGCGAACAGGGCAAAGAAAAGGTAACAGCTTAATCATGTCCAACAACATAAACCTTTCTACTGAGCATCAGTTGACAACACGGCGCTGTCGTTATCATGCGAGTGCCAGCGAAAAAGATTAAATCAACTGAAGACCCAAACGGCCAGAGTTCAATACAGGTGAAATGAGAATACATCATGACGCTTCAGCAACTCAATGAACTGAAGCATAAATGTCCTATTCATTATTTGTCGATGCAACACGCAAACTAAAATTTCAAGCAAACAAGATTGCACATGAGACCAACCAAAGCCAGCCTCATCTGAACTCTGAAATATGAAGGCAAGCAGGATCCATCATGTGAGGATAGTAAAACTGCCACATCCCACACATTCGAGGACATCATCAGGCTTTGATGGTCACGCTGCACAGGCAAGAACCTGACGGCTTCAGCTTCGATGTGCACCACTCAGACCCCATCGGAGCTGCAGGATCATACATCAGCGTCTGATACCCAGGCTCTTCCTCCAGAGGGAAGAGCAGCAGCTTGTCCTCATGTACCCCGAAGGAAAAACGAGTGCTTGAGCTACCAGTAAGCGGCACGGGGACCTTCTGCCAGGAGTTGTCAGCCCGGGTTGAAGATTGCCAGAGACCTCTGGTTCTTCCATTCGATGCAGAAGAGCTTCTCGCCGAGGACTGCATGAGCAGTGACCATCACACAGCCGTTCTTGACCTGGTCCCAGGCATGGTTATTAGGATTGTACACATCAACAAAACGGGAGTTGCCAATTGTGAAGCTTGAACGGCCACCCATGACATAGAGCTTCCCTTCAAAGCTGCACCCGAAGCAGCCCCACCTTGGTCTGCGTAGGCCCTCAATCAATGTCCATTTAGTCTGTTCTAGGTCATAAACTTCAACGCTAGATAAACTCTCGCCATTTGGACCAAATCCACCAGCAACATATATCACCCCATTGACCTCTGCACAGGCGAAGTCACACCGAGCTACATTCATCTTAGCAAGCTCAGTCCACCTGGTGAACAAGAGCATAAATGAATCAGCCAAATAATTCAAAATATTCAGACCTTAATATGCATCTGAATAATACATTAGTATCAGAGTTAATGAGTTTTTCTTGAATGCATTCAGATTCTCAGTATGTTGGTTTATCATTTGAATTTTTGTGACATTAGTAAGATCACTTAGAAATGAACAGAATCTTCCATAGTATAATAAACTTATGAGAACCCAAGCATACCTGTTGAGGCAAGAATCATATTGATAAACCTCATCTGAAACAGAGTCTTTCCCATGGTCAGCAGCATAGCCCGCAATAACAAAGAGCTTCCCACCAATAACAACCACACCAAACCCAGCTTTGGTTAGTCCAGGCATTCGCGGAAGAGGGCTCTGCTTTTGCCCTGAACACTCTAAAATCTCCCAGTGCGACCCCTTTGCGCCAGCATCTGGAGTCAGGACATACACCCACTCCTCAAGTTTCCCAACCTCCTTCCTCACAGCTATGAGTTCCTTGCTCTCAAGAAACGACATCCACCTCTTGGAAACTGCACCCATGACAGGAAAATGAGTACGAGGAACAAGGGCAAGACATATCTTTGCCAAGTCTTCAGGCAAGCCTGGTATTAGATCACAGTTTGAATCGAATTCCTCCTGGGGCACAAGCCCTGAATAAAGTTTGGGTCTTGTAGGAGGCTTGAGCTGCATCCTAGCTTGGAAGCACGTCTGCGAATGAGCAAGCTGATGTTGTGACGCAGCAAGCATTATGAGATGCAGCAGAAAGCACCTCAACGTTGGCCTCCTCTTGCAAGCCAATAAGAATAACGGCTTACTTATAGACCCTTCTCTACTATAAATGACAATGGCTGAAAGGGAAGGATTCGTGGAATCCGTCGCCGATGGGAATGGTCAGGGACAAGGGTTTGAATGATGCCGAGATTAGGTTCTTCAACTTTGATGCCTCTGTTTTCGTTGCCCTTGCTGTATCAAATGCCATCCGATCGCACAAGACTGTGGAATGGATCTTCCTTGTAGATTCAGCAGTGCTCTCCTTATTGATGCGGTAGAAACAGTTTCCGCCCTTACACATGGCCCCAATATCTAGAGAAACAAATGAAACGTGCTGCTATGTTAGCTGGAAGAAAATCGTACTAGTTGCCAGGCATTTCCAGAGAGAGAAAAGGAAGGAGATGAATACCTATGTCCATATAAATTCGTATCAGAATTAGCCAGCAGTAGCATCCATTTCTTACGCCTGCAGTCATCAAAGAAACTTGACCGAGTTAACAACAGATTGACTCTAAGCTGGTGAACTTGATTTCATCAAGAAGCAGGTGGCGCCGCGCAGGGGCAGACCCAGCAAAGGACATGTGTGTACACATGTACGCCAGATAACTTTTGCAAAACAATCGAAGGTAGTAGGCATAATACATGCATATACACTTGTAACTGGATCAGATCCGAACACAGATACCCCTAAGCTAAGAATTGGGTGCTCGGTTCCGCACAGAAGGAAGGGAAGCCAAAGGGGCGGGCGTACCTGGTGGAGCTCGTCGCCGGCGAAGGGCTCCGAAGAAGACCTTGGCACCTGGCGTTGGGCAGCGACGGTTGGTCGGTCGCCCAGTCGTCGCCGAGATTGAGGGAGAGAGGGAGAGAACGCGCACGCTGGGCTGGTGGGGGTAATGGGGAAGAAGAGACAGGCCGGGGTCCGTGCTGGATGGAGGCTGTAGACACTTGTCTGATATACTAACAGCTAGCTGTCGTATCTATATATATAATATAATAAATAGATAATAATAATAAATTTATATAAGAGCGGTGGTTTTGTTCAGGGTAGTTTGGGTATGCCATAATAACAGATTATTAAAAAGGAAATCATGTGTTCTTCCAAATTGGCGTGTGCAAGAAAGAAAAAGGCTCATTTATTTGCCTATTATAATGGGGGGAAAGGCTATTTGCTGCAAACAAAATCTTGTACTTTGTGAAATGACGCATCTCTAAATATGTTCGATTCTTAATTTGTCTAGATTATCTGTGTTCGACCAATTTAGACCACACTTGGATTCCCGGCTGGGGCTTCCATGCAATCTTTCTAATTTAAGTAGGTGGTTTAGGTGATTCTCGAAACTCTTGTTTAGAGCATGTATAGCAATACTACTCAAAACAAGCTCTTTATTTGCTTGTTTGAGTAGCCATCTATTTTGATACTATCCAACTTTTTTTTTCTTCCAACTCTAGCAATACTACCTAAACCATGGCTCTCAATTTCGTTTAGCCATCAATGACATATGGGACCCACATGTCATACTCCTCTCCTTGTCGCCATTGATGAACTAGGCCAGCGAAGGATGACGCTGTCGACGGGGAGGGGAACGAGGGCGTCGCCAGGAGAAGAGTCGCGACTATTGGGGTCGCGCCAAAAAGGACGCCACCACGGGCAAAGAGTCGCATGGGGAGGAAAGAGATGGAAGGAAAACAAATAGGTATGCACTTGTTGGCCCAACAAAAGTGGGTAGTAGGGGGCATAGGGGGGCAACAAAAATAACGACAATGATACCCTCAGGGCATCCATTCGGACAGACGGGACAGACCTACCTCGCGCCGCACACCTCTCGCCTCGCGGCGTGCGCCCCTGCGCCTCGCACCGGACCCACCCCTGCGCTTCGTGCTTCGTGCCTTGCACCCCACCCGTGCCTTGCGCTGCGCGCCGTCCACGCCTTGCGCCTTGCGCTGTGCTCCCCCGCGCCTCGTCATCTAGCCTCCATTGGGCGGCAGCAAGTAGATGAGTACATGTTGCAACCGTATGTTTCATGCGTTTCAGATGTATGTTGCATATGTTTCATCTGGATGTTGCAAAAGTAGATCTGG